ACAGTATGTTTAACATTTTAAAGCTTTATGACTATAGCACGTAGTATTAAAGATTATAATGAATATCCCAATGTGTTTATTTCATATTCCCACTACAGATATTTTAACAATATCACAAAATTTTTCATTTTAAATTGTTTGGTAATAATTCATGATATCAATTACTTAAAACTAATTTGTTGTTAATATACTAAATATTTAAATAAATCATAACAAATAAATTACTTTAAAATAAACAAAATATAACATAATAAATAACAGTACTCATTTATTGCATTAAGCAAAATACAATATCATATTTTAGTTATTAATAATAACATATTATTCTACTGCAATGTACAAAGTATTTTTAAAATGTGTAAAATATTATTATAAAATTATTGTAATTACTAGATTAAAGCTAATTATTTAAACTTAATTATTCTATAATAACTGAATTATTAAACAAATTTTAAATAAATTTTTTGATTAAATTTAAGCAAACTCGAGATTAATACTAATTTAATGGTGAAATAAAAATAACTGTAAAAGTTGACAAGATCTGTTCATTTTGTATTACATTTTTAGGGTACTGCGAGTGTTTTATAATTTGAGCCAGTCAAAGCCAGACAGTGTCAAGTCTAAATGCCAATACATAGCTATGAACCGTCACTGAACCTTTATGATAGATTTTATATTAAACTTTAATACCTATATAGTTCATTGTAATGTATTAGCATTTGGACTTGACACTGTCTGGCTTTGACTGGCTCATTTATCAATGTACTAATGTATCGATTACTAATTGTCTGCAGTTTGACATTACATTTTATTAAAATGTGTTTTAATAATTTTGATATTATTTAATTTTAAATAGGTTTAAATTTATTTACAATTAATAACGTTAATTACTTATATGACATAGTTATTTAATAGACAATAATTATTTTAATTACAAAGAATAGTATAGATTCTATACTATAAAAGTAAATAGAAAATAATTTGTATTTATATAATGTTAAATAAAATAGTGTTATTATAACATTATATATTTAATTTAATTTTAAAATTTAAAATTTTATTTAAATATTTAATTATATATATATTTAATTTATTAATTAGTACAATTTAGAAATAATATTTTTATAATATAATCCATAAAACATGTGATCATTTGAAAGGCCAGGCATACTTTGGAAGTTTGTACTCGTCCTCCAATTTAACCAAATCTTCACTCAATTGCCATAACTTTTGGGCACTTTTATCGTCCGTCGCGTTCGCATACATATGATCCACTCGTAAACAATTGCTGTTGAGTTTGAAATTAAATTTAATACAATCAATAAAAGCAAATTTCAAATCAATAGAAATACAAACTCATAATAAAATCCGGATTCACTGTCCAGTGATTCTTCGAGAGCGCAGTAAAGGGTGGTCTGACAGCCCTTTTCTACATTAATGGATATAGTATTGGACAAAAATTTTGAGACAACTTTCTTAAGGCCATTCATATGTCGAGAAAAATCCGTGTTGACCATTCCCGGGGATAAGGCATACACTGTAACTGTCGTGTCATTTGTCAGCCGTTTGGCTAACTCTCTGGTAAACAAAATGTTGGCTAATTTGCTCTGACAGTAGGCCTTCTGTTCATCGTAAGCGCCGTTCCCGAGGTGTATGTTCTCGAAGTGTATGCTTCCCAACGCATATATAAGTGAGGCCACGTTTATGACACGAGCTTTCGGTGCTTTTCGCAGTAGTGGTAGTAATTGTAGAGTTAAAAGATAGTGTCCTAATGTATAACGATTTAGTTATTAATAGATATATTTTTTGTCTTTTATGTTATAATATTAATACCTAAATGGTTGGTCCCAAACGCCATCTCAAAGCCATCGGCCGTTTTCAACTCCGGTATGAAAGCAATTCCTGCGTTATTCACAAGAATATCAATTTTCGTCTCGTTTTCATAGATTTGTTGAACGAATGCGCGAATCGACTGAAGAGAAGACAAATCGAGTTTAATGTGAATTA